GTGCACCAGTCATACCTCTCGCGAGCCCCTACGACAGGACAGGGCCTACGCGAGGCACGACTACCTCCACCTTACGGGAGCTGTCACCTCCCTTCGGTGGGCGTATCCCCGCCGAGCTACCAGTCCACACTACGGAAGTTGATCAGCTGCAATCGCAGAGGTGGACCAGCCGAGGGCGTTTCTCGTTCGCTGTAGCATAAGGGGTACGCGCGGTACTACGCCTCTATCGGACCCGCAAGCGAACCGACATCTTGGGGGGCTGAGGTCCCAAGCGCAGCTCGTCGCCGGTCGACTAGGACGTATCCCACACGCCACGCGCACACCACTATAAGGTACATAAAAGTAAAGCACACGCACACACGCACACAAGTATTGAACGACGCAAAGGACGTACAACATGACACACTCCTAGCCCCTTAGTATCCAACCCATGACTTTGCGCAGTGGAAGTCGGTAACTGCCGTACGCGAGGTTTAGTATAAGATCGCTCGAACGTAGGATCCACGCATACCAATTCACTAAGCAGCTCTACGTGAGTAACTGCGATGACGGCGCATTATGTGGTGCCCATACCCAAATGGCCTATTCTGAGCCATGCGGTTGCTTCCGATGCTTAGGCGTCGGCTGAAGTGCACGCTACGGGGGGGGGTAACCCTTTAGCGGGCGCAAAACCGGCCTGTGGGCTTTACCGCCTTCTGCATCCTGAGGTGTCCCAAAGGGTGCGGGGTAAGACGGTCCCTAGGGCACGAAGGGATTTGGAGCGGTGGTCAGTTGTCTGGCGTATCACCAGCGACACGCTGACCCTTCCGCTCGGAACTTTATCGTTCCACCAAAACAAAACCCAACAAGGAAAGTACCTTCGACTTCTATCGGAAGTGAACCTTTTTAGAGCTAGTCCTGGGACTCGGGTCGTCCTGGGCGAGGACCTTCGTATTCTAGGCTCAGGACTAACGTCCGACCACAATTTCTTCAGAAGCGTATATATAAATAGAGGGGTCATTCCTTTTCTGCTAGCCCCCGATTCCCAATTAAGTCCTCAAAATGCGGGTTCTTCAAGCCACGCAAGTATCCCACATAGGTACGCATTATGCACATATAAACACACATGGGAATAAACGTGTGACGATCACATCTCACAATCACAGTGGGTCTCCTCATGCACATATATAAGATCGCAGGGCAGTCCAATCCAATAATCCCAGTCACAGAACATACTTGCAATCACATCAAAGAATCAAGCAGAAGTCCATACACTACACGGAGTCAACTCCAACCTATCTCGATGCTCATACCCTTTGCCTCAGCCACGCAAACCCCAACCTCCAGCCAACATACCTTAAGTAAATACTCAGTACCTTTGTTAAATGACCATTCAATAAAAGTCCGGGTGAAACCTTAACAAAGCAGAAAAAATCACCAGGGTTGAAGCCTCTTTAGGTTAAGTAAGGAGAATGGGTTGAGGTTGAGTCGTAACCGACGAGTCGGCAACCGACCTGTTATCTGTGATAACAGAAGGTGATCCTAATAGGATCAGGCTGAGTCCAGCCCACGTCTTGAAGCGACTTGATAAAAGAGACTTGTGACACAAGCCAGGCCAATCTCAAGCTAAGTCTACTCGCTCAGGGAGAGTAACCTTCACCTCCTAACCTTATTCGAGCCGTCATATCTAACCAAGTCTAGGTCCACCTCTAGATAGCACTCAGCGTAAGGTGGATCTCGCCATAGCCTCCCCTACATAGGTCGTCACTTGTCCAAATATAGGCTAACTCCTCTAACTTAGGAAAATTTCGGCAGCGCTTCCCATAGAAAAAGTGACATCGCAGAAAATATACTAGTTCAAAAAGTCAAACCTTTGGGTTCCAGAACGTCAAAATTTGTCTAATTCCCTGACTTAGCAAAAATTTGGTCAGCACTTCCTTCAGAGAGGAAGGCTCCCCAGATCTATACTAAGTCAGAATTGAACTTAAACATAAAGTCTAAGTTCCGTCAGATAGAATCTCAACTAACTCCTTAGATTTGTAGAAATTTCGGCAGCGCTTCCCGTAGAGAAAGTGCTAGTCCAAGATTTATACAAAGCCAAGTTTGGAATCTGAAAATGACTTTGATCCTTCAGGGCCCAACTTTGGCTAACTCCCTGATTTTGTAGAAATTTCGGCAGCGCTTCCCATAGAGAAAGTGGCTTACCAAGATTTATACAAGCCCAAGTACGAATCAAAGACCCCAGACAATGCAGAAATTGATCTAAGTGAAAACAAAACGAGCCCAGCAAATGCAGGAAATGATTCTAACTCCTATGGCTCTAGCACGTGGCAAGCAATTACAGCAACTACCTATCAAATCCAAACTCAGACTAAGAAGTGGCATCACGCAATCACATGCAGACCAACCCACAAACATGCACTCTCTCCCCATCCCAAGTTACCTTAGCAAACCATAGTTCGTAGTCTTTCAATGATTTATCTCTCATACCCAACTTGCATAGGGCATAAGGCTAGACCACCCAAACTTATGGAACATGTCTAGCCCAAACTTATGGAACATGTCTAGGGTAATCTTCTCCTTCCAGGAAGTTCGCCGCGAACTTTCGTTCCATTTCTTTCGCAGCAGCCATAATTTGTTGTAGCGTATGAGTGATGGGGGAAAATTGCTTTCGCAACTTAGCCCTTATTGTCCGGCTGCGGAGTCCGTCGATGAACAGGTCTTTCCCTACTTGCTCACCTCGCTCAGTTTTTACGAACATTCTGTAGAACCGGTTTCAATACTCCGCAACGGACTCGAGCGGTTTTTGCACTCGGTCCTTGATCATGTACAACGCTTGCTCAGGGTGGACCTGTGTGACACTCCGTACGACGTACGGGGGGTTTATCGTACGGTCGTACGTACGGCCGTATGAACGGCCGTACGTACAACCCCATACGAAAAAAAAAAAAAAAAAAAAAAAACGNCAGGGCACAACAACTTTTCTCTTCTTTGGGCATATGACTAGGCCACCCTAGTCGCCCTGAACTGTTTAAGTATCCAAGATTTATATAATTGTCTGTACTTAGTCTTTTGAGGTAGCATATAGTTGAGCCGATCATCTTGAGCTCAAGACTCAGCCTGCCCCTTCGTACCACAAGTTTATTCTTAGTTAAGTACTCTCTTCAGTTGGTGATAAGCTATAGTCAGGCCACCCAAACTTATGGAACCCTGCCTGCCTAGCCTGTTTATAGATAGTACAATAGTAAAGTATACCAAAGTTATAGCCTTCGGGTTTCAGCATGTGCGAGGCGTTGGACCAAGACCACCCAAACTTATGGAACATGTCTTGGTCCTCAGCCTGGTTCATTTTCTCTCAAGGCCAAGGCAAAAAGAAACTAACAGAAACCCAAAATAAACAAGGCCGCCAGACTACCCAAACTTATGGATTTGACTGACGCTTGAAAAAACAATCACATTCAACCCTCACGGTCAGAGCAACCAGACCACCCAAACTTATGGAACATGTCTGGTTCTCCAGGCAATACAAAATAAACATAGCACTGGGCCCTCCCAAACTTATGGAACTGGCCCAGCCTTTGGTTGACTCATTCAGACTCATGCAAAACTGCCTTTCTCCCACCCTTCCCCCAGATGCAACCCCACAATCTGCTTTCAATCAAGTAATAAAACTGAAACAGACATTATACATGCGTTCCTTTACTTAGTCTGGTTATGTCCTGAATAGAAAGCAACAACTATAGGGACCGGCAGACATACATCAATCAACCATAGGGGGACATGCAAACATGGGTGTAGTGGGGGTATACAAATCGAAAGAAGTTACCTGGTGGTTCCTTGCCTCCAGAACCCCGCCTAGGTTCCGGTAGAGCTCCCGCAATCGGTGGGAGGACTCCCCACAGAGTCTTGAGGCGGGCCTACGAGTTGCAATCCCGCCTGCCGCCTTCCCCTCGTAACCAGGTGACTAGACTTGGAGTAAGAAAGGTAGACAGAGAAAGTATAGAGACTCTCAAAGGGATGCACTCAGACTCGCGTGAGGGGGCCTTGTTGTCTTGGTTCGCCTGAGGGCCCCGCAATGGCGGCCAACCGACAGCTTGGTTAATGAAGCCAAACTGTCGAAGTAACCTCTCCTGACGAACTCCCCTGCTAGCATCCCAAGCTCCCTCCCTAAGTCCAATTACAGCTGCCCAGTACCTTGTATCGTCCTTTATGTGCAGCAGCAGTAGTACTCAACGGTGGCCAATAGCAACGGCAGTAATCCCCACCAGTCACCAGCCGAGTGCAACAGAGATGGCCAGCAGCTGCCAGCGGTAGCAGCGAGAATCATTGCGCAGTACATAGTGATAGCTTGTGCCCGGCCAACAGCTGCAGCAGCGGTGCATAGTCCGCACACCCTCAACAGCAGCCTATAGCAGTCACCAACAGAAGCAGTCTGTACTCAGTCCACTGCCCTTAGCAGTAGCAGTCCACGGTGGTGGTCAACAACAACAGTAGCCCAGTCTGCAGCAGCCCGCAGCAGTAGTCTTGTGCATAGTCAGAAAAACAACAGCAGTTGTTTGCAGCATTCAGTCGCAGTATGCAGCGGCCAGCCGTAGTGTGCAGCAGCCTACTCTAAGCGTCGTCCAACCTCAGCGAGTCGCGTCTCCAGGAACCTGCCAATATCGCTTCTCAGCCCACAGCGGTTCACCAGCGGCCCAACAGAGTTCTTGCTGTCGTAGTAATATGAGCCAGCCAATAATACCGGCGGAATCTCGGCAGCTACGTGGCTTACCCACTGCCCCTTCAGTGTCGCACCAACCCGGGGAAACGGCAGCCTCACCAGTAGAGCAATAGTCATGGACACCACAGTTCTGAAGAGTAATATTCCTCATAGCGTAGTAACATCAGTGTTATGAGGCATGAAAGATAAAAAAAAACAGTTTGTTGCAGGGGCAACACTCCCGTAATAATGTTGTTTTCAAGGGGCACCGACCACCACTCCAGGCCCCTTTTGAGCAGTTGTGGCAACAATCTGGTGTTACCTCCGAAAGCAGCAGCGATCTCACTCCCTCCTCATAACAGCAGCCCTGTTGCAGAACCTGCTCAATCCCATTTGCGTGGTCTCCTAGCCCCCTAGAGTCCGTGGCCGGGTGCAGCTTGTACACAGTACAGTGGCGCCCCAGCAGCTCCCCAAAGGTATAACACACCGCCAATCTCGTCTCAAGGAGGTCCGGCAAGGGCGCCCCGCTACCCGAAAACCTGTAGCAATCTCGACGCTACAATGTACTGCGAAGAATCGTCTCTAGTACCGCAATCCCGCAGCAGCGTGGGCAGCCGACCCACTCCCACAACCTGGACAACGCTGCAGTTCTTAAAGCACACCCGCAGCTGCGACGCAGCAACTCTGTCAGGCGCAACCACGCACAGCAGGCGCTCAAAACAAGCCTTATAGGATGCTCAACCAGTGTACTACTCAAATAGCGCAGCATACAGGCCCCTATACCCTTTCTAACCGAGGAGCAGTCTGATATACCCCAACTGACCCGGAGTTTAGCAACCGTTCCTACTTTGGTCCGGATCCAGTCCCCTGTCTGTGAGTACACAACCCCTCTGATAGACGAATCCACCCTCCTATATCAATAGTAGCTATTGAAGCATACTGAGGTTGTAGGCCATGCAGACCATCAACCCCTCTGATAGACGAATCCACCCTCCTATATCAATAGTAGCTATTGAAGCATACTGAGGTTGTAGGCCATGCAGACCATSGCTACGACCATGGTATGTACACTTACTCTCGTCAGCAGCTACAATGGTCCATGCGAGGGCAGACCACTTGTTCGAGGTACACAGGATGGCCAGAGAACCAAAMACTGAGTCACAGAGGCATATGCTATGCTGTGSCTTACTGATGAGCCTGGGGAGCCCTCAATCTATCAGAATCCCTGTTGAGTTCGGCCTTGGCCTTGACAGGCGGCCGTTCAACCACATATATCAAAAGAGTAGTGAATACACAGAAGTAATATCRTARGAACACACAGCGGTCTGACGCCATGTACCTCAAGCCTAACACTTCTGCCACAGTCTCTTCAGCCCTGGAACATAGCAGTCAAGATCAGCCATCTGAAACACAGCTCACTTTACACCCAATAGTGAAAGGCCCTGCATCAATCCAAACCCATGTCGATGATCTTCTTTCTGAGCAGCATCATCCTGGGCCCGTGCAGCAGCAACCAGAACCCGAACTTTGGCTGTAAGCACGGGCAACCACGCGATCGCCATCCACCAGGAACGCTGGGTATACAGCAGCGGCGGTGCCCAGCCACCCACAGCACCGTATTCCAGCCAGTCCCCAGTTAAACACAACCAGCCTGGCGATGGACAGCGCTCACCATAGTTTCGCGCATTAGCAGCATCCGCAGTCGAACAGCAGCAGCAATCCTGGAGTTCAGCAGTCTTATGGCAAAGTCCGAACCCTCATCACCCTGCTGTACCGTCCTAAGAACGACAACGGCACCCGGTAGTGGCAGCTGCTGCTGCCGCAACCTCTCCAAGTCGAGGGGTCAGGATGACACGTACCATGAGTAATGCCCCTTGAATCCGGTGACGAGTGTACACAGCAGCTGTACTCGACAAAAAAGATCTATAATAGAACTCGCTCTCTAATCTGCCGTCTCTCGATCAGGCGCCACCAACTGGAGAGTTGCTGTTTTTTGTATCTGCCTCACGCCCCTTCCACCCCTGCATGGGCAGCATCGTAGTGGCCGGGTTGCACAGAGCTACCCGCCAGG